GGATATTATAGTAATAATTTAAAAATGAAACTACTGTCAAATTTTATGACTATGGGCTTCTTGTAACTCAAAACATCCTTCACCAGCAGTCCTTACAGAGATTCTCAATAGTCTTGACATAGTTGTTACTTAGATTGAGGGAATCCAGCTTTTGTAAGGATTCCAGGTTTTCGATTTTGTTAATTAAATTGAGCTGCAAGTAGAGGCAGCGCAACTCTGTCAGAGCCTCCAAATTCTCAATTTTTGTTAAGCCATTGCATTCCAGCCACAAACACTTCAATCCAGTATACTCTTCAAGATTCTCCAGGCGGCCAAATCCTGCAGAAAAAAAGATGTTTCAAACTGAAATTGCATTGGCTAAAATTAAGTCATTCAAAGCGTAAATTCATTAAGCCAGTGCTGCTGAAACAGCCTGTGAGAATACCTGCATTAAAATTGATGGTAAGACTTCTAGCAATTTAATTGGCTCATTAAGGGAGAAAATGTACCTACAAGGTACCTATTCTGGTCTATATCTTGTGGAGCACTTTAGATTCTTAAATACTGAGAAAATAGTAAACATAAAGTCAAATGTTGAAGATAGGTTTAGCATGTTGTGTTTATTTAAAACCATTCTCATGCCACCCTGAATAATCAAAAAAAACTGCTCAGAGATCAGAAAAGGGTGACCTGTTCTAGCAACTTTTACTTTCAGTAGTATTTGAGAACATACAGCATGTGTTTACTGTTGTTTTGTCAGTGCAGAAGTCCCAAAATTTGGTAAACAACTTTGTTACACAAACACATTTAAAAATAAAATATATGAATGTAAGTTAGATCAGTATTTTAAGACATCACTTCTCAGAGGCTACTGTTTTCTAAAAAACAGTGTCTCTTGATTCCTATCAATCTTTTGAATGAGTCTACAAAATGAATAAGGCCTATAATCAGTTCATTTTTCTACCTTCATATTTGCTCATTTTGTTTCACAGTTATACTATTATATCAAATTAAATTATGTTTCTCATTTAAAACAATGTTTAAATACCTACCTCACTTTAGTGAGCCATAAATTAGATTTCCTGCCAGAACACAGAATATTTAGAGTGATACATCTATACAATCTTGTACATGGCTTACCTTTATAATGCAAGTAAAGTGTATCATTTAAGGATGGGGTCAAGTACAATTTGTGCTGCTTACAAATGTCTTGCAGAATCTTTTTTGTCATTCTAAAAGAATAATAGGAAGCAGAAGCAAAAAAAAGTACTTCAGCACACATTCTGCTATCTTTTATAAAACAGATTTCAATGCAAAATAATTAATAGTTCTTTTATGCAAGAGAAATAGCTACGGCGTACAAGACTACACTCAGAGTGAAAAAGCTCTAGATTTTTTTAGATTTGTTTTCCATTCGTACCGGCCTGAAGTGTGTAACCAGGCTCTTCCTACTTCTGCTATAAAAAGAGAATGTAGGTAGGGTATGAGAGAGTTCATCTTCTTTAAAAAGAGCAGCATGAATTTTTGTTAGACTGGTTATTTCTTCTTCTGTCCTTTCCTCCATTTTTTGCTGCTTTGGTGCAGCATCTCTGCTGGTATAGTCAATAAGCAACACCTAGGACCCTGAGTCACCATTTCAAACTAGAAAATCAATAGTTATCAACCTAACATTTTGATGAAAGACTGACAGTCGGTAACGTTTTAGCACACCACTTTAATTGGCTAGGAATGCCAGAGCAGAAAATGAGTAGCATCAGTTAAATGGTAATTACTTAATTCTACTCATGAGAGGATTTATTCAAGTGAGAACCCAGAAAAGGATACCAAGGGAAGCCAAGGGCTACCGATGTGCAGGGACAGGGATAAATTTGCGGTTATTGGAGATCCTGTTCTAGAGAGCACTGAACTGACAGTTCCATGGAGGTGGTAGTCCTGTAGCACAAACTTTACAAAGAATAACTGGATACTGTTTTTGGAGGCCAGTCTACACAGCTAAACACAATTTTAGCATAGGGAATAAAATTGGGAACCCATCAAGAAAATATATAGTAAAACATTCTAAAGCTGAAAATACAGATTTCTTCCTGTTTAGAAAGATTAGATTCTTTTAAAACAAAAATCACCCAAAATATAACCTGTAGTAGATATCCTCCACTTAAAGAAATGTTGCAATAGATGGATATTATATGATCCAAAATTATTTTCCACTTCCAAGTCCCTTATTAATAGCCTGAACTTTGCATTTGTGGTCTTAAGTATTTGTAGGACTAAAACTTTTAACAGTAAGACTTCCTTGGCAAACAGGTATTTTCAAAACAAACAATGCCATGAGTAAAGGCAGTGAAGGTGTACCTTTCACGATGAACTTTTAGAGATTTTTCTGTTAGATATAGTTACTTACCATGCTGTAAAAGTCAATATTGCTGAAGAACAAAATTCTAATGCAGTAAACTGACTAGTTCTTGGGGCAATACCAAATATGATTGTCAGCCTGTTAGTGCTCTATAGGCTGAAATAAATCTCTGAAGGAATGAAAGATTTATAAATGTTGAGCAAAATCTCTAAAGCATACTGTTTTCTTGCATTGTGAGCCCAAGTATGTTACTATACACAATGTACATGCAGCGTATTACGCTGATTTTCATGGAGCTATTTAGAGTAGCGTTTAATCAAATCATCAGCATCCTTAGGCAATTTACAGAACCATAAAATGTGTTCCTTAAGAATACTAATTATCACGTGCAGTTATTGCACTTCTGACATCATTCCTCATAAGAATTTAATTTTGATGCATGCCAGCCTGATTAGCCTGGGATAATGAAGTTACCTATCCAACTTAGTTCCTGGTAACTTGGAGGGCCTCTGTCCCTTCACATACCTCTGCCAAAAATTGTCCTGACAACTGTAATATTTACATTGAGATGAATTAATACAATGCATTCTTTGAATTCATACTGAGAATTAGTCAAATATGCTCCCACAAGAGTTTGCAGAAATTTGTCCAAATCCATTAAATAGACTACATCATACATTTAAAAGGTAGTTTGCTAAATAAAAAAGAAGTATAGATGCTGGAAATATCAACAATTCCTGAGTTATTGATTAATCTCAAGTTCATCTTCAAAATCATTTTCCAGAGTTAAGGTTAACATGTAGAGAGTGAGTGCGTGAAACTCCTACTGATTTCAGTGATGCCAAGGTTTAAATAAAAACCATCAATAAACAATATTTTACCTCACACAGCCCCCTTTTTCTTCCGTCTTTTGACTGAATGAGCTAGTTACTGACTTGTGATCACCAACCAATTTTTGTTCATTCCGTTGATCTGCTCTGGATGTACAGTTGATGGCTTTCTCTTCAGTTTTAACATCTTTGTGGTAAGAAAACAAGTTGCAGTTCAATATGGGTGGAGTAATATTGTGTCACTTTTCCAATCAGTTCAGAGAAATACTGAAAAGCACTTGAATATGAACTTCAAGAAAAGTTGCGTTCTAACCAAGATTTTTGCAGATCTTTTTAATTAAAATAAGCTCAACCTTCTATAGGAGACAAAATACAATAATAACTACTAACAAAATAAACTGCTGAATTATTGCATTTGTTTACATATGAAAGTCAGGCAGGACACTTAAGTCTTATTATAATGTACAGTGAGAATACAATACTGGCACCAATGTTTTATGATCTTGGACATCTACTGTATATTACATGTAATTAGCAACAATTAGAGTTAAACAAGACTGCTAAGGACTAATTTACATGCTAAGACTACTTTAACATGTAAAGATAATGGTGCATCATTCAACACAAAAGCTGTTTGTCTTGCTCTTCCACAGATTTACCTTTTTGTACTTTTTGGAGGGTGTCTCCAGTGCTATAGTCATTCAGGCTGTCTTTACTCTGCCTCTGGCCAATTGCATTTTCAATAGTTTTCTCTTCAGATTCTTGCTCAGAACCTTCTAGTTTTGCTTCTGGTCCTGACACTTAAGAGACAGTGCAAACAAGATGATTGTACACGGTCATTTAAATGTGACTTTAATTAAAAAATTAAAGGTAAGGCCGGATGTATGACTTCAATACATAAAGTGTACTTCCAGAAAAAGAAAATTCAAGAAACAAGGAATGTCGGCAGGGGGTGGGGGGGAAGGGCCGGTAAGCCTCAGTTACAGCAAGATGTTCAGTGAATTCAGCGAGGGAAAGAACAAATCCAACAACAGACTTTTATATACTCAACAACAGCTTTTTCTCAGCTGCATGGACTCAGCTCAGTAACTGCTCCCCTGTGCCTCCCAGCAGGACAGCTGGCAGAGCTCACCCCTGCTGACAGGACAGCCTTCACTCCGTGCGTGGGCAGCTTCATTTCCAGTGCTGCTCAGAGTCTCTCCCAACAGCTCTGGCGCAATGACTGCTCCTTCGTGGCCTCCGTCCAAGTCTCTGCTGTGTGACAGCATTCTGAGATACGAGATTTAGACAAGCCGTGTCAGGCCGCTGCGTGGCTCACAGCCCTACCGCCAGACACTACGTCCAAAAGCTACGGCAGGCCCTGTCAGAGGCAAAGGAGACCGGAACGAGCAGATTATGAAGCGTGGGGCTGCTCACCGGGACGCACCCTGCCGACGTGGCGCAGACCCCCCTCAGCACAGAGCAGCACAAAGAAGGCTGACCGAGGCGCTGAGAACAGGGACCTGCAGCCCTCACACAGAGCCCTCCGTTCCCTTTACCTGCCCCCGCAGCTCGGCTTCTGCCGGCAGCAGGGACACGGGTGGATGCCCGAGGCCAGCAGCCCGTCCGGGCCCGGCCGCGGGCAGCAGAAGCCGCACACCGAGCGGGAAGGAAGGGACGGGCGGACGGGCAGCCGAGCAGCCTCGTAACTCCCGCACCAACGGCCGCCGCCCAACGGCCGCCACCTCCATGGCAACGCCGTGCGCGCCCATAAGGCCCCGCGGCGGCTGGCGGCGCTCTGGTGACGGAGGCGCCGCGTCGGCGCGCGGGATCGCTGTGCTGCGGCGCGGTAGGGCCGGGGCTGGGCCGGGCCGTGGGCTCAGGCTGGGGCAGCACGCCTGGGCCGCTGCGCTGCGCGGGGAGGAGGGGCGAGCGGCGGGCTGGGAGGCTGGGGTCACGAACTGGGACTAAAAACGTGGCGTTTCCACGATTTCTAACAATCATAGGATGGCTCAGGTCGGAGGAGATCATCCAGTTCCAGCCCCACCCAGTGCCACCCCACCTCGGGCTGCCCGGGGCCTTGGGCACCTCCAGGAATGGGGCACCTGCAGCTTCACTGGGCAGCAGTGCCAGGGCCTCCCTGCTCTCTAAGTGAAGAATTCCATCCTCGCATCTAAGCTAACTCTCCTGTCTTTTAGTTTAAAGCCATTCCCCTTGTCCTATTGCTGTCTGCCCATATAGAAAGTTATATGCTTATAAGCTCCCCTCGAGTTCTAGAATACTGCAGTGAAGTCTCACCAAAGCTTTCTCCTCTCCAGGCTGACCAAACTTGGTTCCCTCAACTTATCTTCACAGGAGAGATGCTTCAGCCTTCTGATCATCTCCATGACCTCCTCTGGACCTGCTCCAACTACTCCATATTCCTCCTGTACTGGGATTCCCAGGCATGGGTGTAGTAGTCCAGATGGGATGTCATGAGGGTAGAGTAAAAAGGGAAAATCCCCTCCCTCACCCTGCTGTCAGCCCCCTGTTGATGCAGCCCAGGATACCATTGGCTTTCAGACTGCAAGCACACACTGCTGGTTCGTGTCCTGCTTTTCATGTACCAGGATCCCCACATCCTTCTCAGCAGGGCTGTTTTCAGTTATTTCTTTTCAGGTAGACGTTCCTGGCATTGTGCTGACCCAAGTGCAACACCTTGCAATTGGCCTTGTTGAACTTCATTAGGTTCTTGTGTGCCCCTTTTCTGTGCCTGCACAGGCTCTCTGGACAACAATGCTTCCTTCTATGGTGTCAGCTGTACTACTCTTCTCAATGTCATCAGCAAACTTGCTGATGATGGGCTTGATAGAATCAAATTGATCTTACTCTATATCTGTATTTTGATATTTGTTGCTCATGTTCTTCGTGGAACCTTTGCCATATTTTCACATCTAGAGGATTTAATGTGTTTTTTCTAATTATAAAGGGATCGTGTTTTTTTTTTTTTTTTTTTTTTTTTTCTGCTAGAAAGTACTGCTGACTGATTCCTGAAGTTGCTCCACTTCTATTATTTTTTGTGTTGCATCATCATTGATAGGTGTGAAAACTATTTCGCAGTTGCCTCTCCCTGGTGTAGCACACTTGGAATTGCTGAATCTCAGGCATTTGAAAAGGTTGAAGAGAAGATTATAATTGCCTGTGTCTTTTTCCTTTTAAGACTTCTGATCACCATGGCTGCAGTGGATCGCTTCAACCTGCTGTACAGAGAGATCAGTCATTCCTGCAGTTTTTACGTTGAGGCCCTGGCTATAGTTGGAGCTTGGTACACAGTCAGAAAATGTCTGACTCTTGTGTTTGACACTTACAGCATGCTCAGGCTTCATGTTATTCCAAAGCTGGTTGGTGAGATTGATATTGTCAAGCGGTATGGAAGATGGGCAGTGGTCACTGGTAAGAGACTGAAGCAGTACATTTGTATATGTTCATATGATTTGCTGGATGAGCTCAGAAGCTGGGGTCTGTATTAAGTCAGGCCACAGCTGCAAGGTGAAAACAAGTTAATTTGTCTGACTAGTGATGCTTGTTCTGCACCTTAGTAAATTCAGTTCCACGGGAGATAGGTAAACTCTGTGTGTTGACTGTGAAAGAATCCCAGACCAACTTTTCTCAGAAATCGCAGGGTATATCCCAAGCACGTATAAGAACGCATGAGGATGTGTAAGCAATCATGGAGCTGGCAGGCAGACCTGGTAGACAGAGGTGCAACCGATGTTCTGTTTTTGCTGTGAGAGTATCACATGCTCCCTTGCTCAATTTATCAAACAATTTAAGTCCCACACCTGACATCCTCTCCTTAAGCTTTTTGCTGTTGTCATAGACAGTATGAAACCTGTATTCATGTGGGATTGTAGAAGGTTGCTGATGAAATGATTATCTTTAGTGTTGTGGTTTGAGACAAACGTTATCAGTGCCATGTCATCTTCAGAGAAGGGAATAAAGCTACAGTTAAAATCTCTGTTGTAATAGAAGACTGGACTGGTTCTGACTTTCACCCTGACACTTTTTTGTCTTTTAATTACAGGTAGCACAGATGGTATCGGGAAGGCATATGCTGAAGAACTGGCCAAACGTGGTGTCAATATCATCTTAATCAGCCGAAGCAAAGAGAAGCTGGAGGCTGTATCTAGAAACATATCTGAAACCTATAAAGTGGAAACAGATTTCATAGTAGCTGACTTCAGTAAGGGGCGTGAGGCTTACCAAGCCATTAAGGAGGGCCTGAAAGATAGAGAAATTGGAATTTTAGTGAATAATGTAGGACTGTTCTATACGTACCCAGATTATTTTACTAACCTGTCTGAGGATATGCTGTGGGACATGATCAACATAAATATTGCCTCTGCTAACATGATGGTGCATATCGTGTTGCCGGGCATGGTAGAGAAGAAGAAAGGTGCAATTGTGAATGTCTCCTCTGCTTCCTGTTGTCAGCCAACACCAATGCTAACAATCTATGGAGCCTCTAAAGTAAGTTGGGCTGTGATGTTTTAATAGTATGCACTGAAGAGTAAAAGCATTATAGACTGTGGGGTTTGTTTTGTTTTGTTTTGTTTTTGTTGTTGTTGTTTTTTTTTAAAGCACATTTAGAAGAGGATATCAGAACTCCTGAGAAAGTTTTCTAGGTGTTTTTTTTTCTGCATATCACGTGTTATGTTGCAAACTTTCCCTTACCAGTAATGGGCTTTGAACCTACCTTGCTATGTAGGTTATGTGTGAACTTCAGCATAATTGTACTTCTAGGGGAAATGTCATCTACCTTGGAAGAATGATGTATGGGCCAGTAGAGGCGATTTTATGACCGACTGGAAGGCTGAAGAATTTGTTCGCTCTTCTGTAGCTGAGCTATGCAGAGATATCTCAGTGTACTTGGGTACTTGCAGACTGATTATTTGGTAGCAAGAGGGATTATATTCATGCACAAGCCACCGCTGTAATGAGAGCTATGGCAAAACAAACAAAAAAAAAACTCACACCACAATGCTTCAGCTAATACTAACTAGCAAGGTGGAGCAGGCAGCTTCTTACAGTATTGTCTGTACAATATCTGGGGAGAAAGGAAAAAGAACTTCCAGACAATTATTCCTCGGTAAAGCCAGCCAATAGTGAATAGGGCGGTACAGAGAGGTGATGCTAAATATATGAATGTGCATGAGGATGCAAACTTTGGCAGGATAATTTGCCACTTAATCCACAGAAGCAGGGGAAATAGTGGAAGGATCTCTTCCAGATCCAGCTGTCTCAACACAGCGGTTATTGCTTTGGGCAGATGGTTGCTGCCCTCTGCTGGAACCCAACACTCAAACAGCCTCATTCCAAGATCGCTCTTGCGAGGAATGTAGATGGTTTTACTCCAGGCAGAAGAAAGTACTTGCTATGTATGACTCCTTGCTGATTTTCTTCAGAGTGGAATCTGTCTTAAGATTCCTATCTCTCTGTTGCAGAGCATCTGTGCCTTGGTGATGCTACCTGTATGTAGACCTGAGCTACATCAAGGAATGGAAAAGAACAAAAACCAGAAGACTACTAAAAATTCTTACTTTAACTAGCATCGTTAATCTAGATCTGAGATCAGTAGTTTAAAGCATGGTCTATGAACAGTTACTTAAGCTGTTAATGAAAAGGGTACAAGTTGCTCTAGCTTCCTAAAGTTTTTTAGGAAGTTTGTTTAGCTGTGCCTGAACAGCTTAGGGTGTTCAGAGTGGTTGATTTGCTTGGTTTTGGTTTTGGTTGTTTTCCTAAAGTAGGTATAAGAGCATTTGTAAATGATGTTTTCCCAACAGTGTTTTTGGAAGGCCATTTGGGAGCAGAAACCCCTTCACTCGCAAATCGTTCTCTCTGAGAAATGGCCATGTAGCACAGCCCTAGCTTCAGCATGGCATCAGTGTTGTTCTCCTGATGAGACTGAGCCAAGCTAATTTCTCATCCTGATTCCCAGATATCAGGCTAGTGCTTTTTCATGTTTCAAGTATGCTACAGCTTTTCTGTAGTTTTAATAAAAATCTGCACTGGACTTCATTGTAAAAACAAACAAAACTGAATATCTTTTTCTGCTTTTGTTTTTCTAGGCCTACTTGGACTATTTCAGTAGAGCATTGTATTATGAATATGCTTCAAAAGGAATTTTTGTTCAGAGTTTAACCCCATTTGTAATTGCTACAAAAATGGTATCATGCAGTAGTGTTACATCAAAGAGATCTTTCTTTTTTCCTTCTGCTGAAGAGTATGCACGTCATGCTATTTCTACCCTTGGGTTATCCAAAAGGACTCCTGGTTACTGGAAACATTCAATAGAGGTAAAGGAATTCATCAAACTACTTAATGTTTGTCAGGAAAAAAAAAATAAGCTGTTTCGTTCCTTAGGAGCCTGAATGAAACTATGTCAGTGTTCTGGAAAAGTACAGCATATGCCATAGGACTAAAGGCATTGTGCAGTGTTATCTCACTCATTCCATTTAAAAGAACACGCACTCAGCCATGATTGTTTTTAGGATTAGAATACAATTGGGAATTGGATCTACTACAAACAAGAGTAGCTTCTTGCTCAGTGTTAATTTATGGGGTGTATTTCTACTTTGGGGTAGGTAAGGAAGATGGAATAATGCAGGAAAAAGTGCACATTCTTAACCAAAGCCACATGGATGCAGGTTCTCTGTATGACTTTGAATTTTGGGGAAGCTGGTGGGCTCTTACATCACCTTATGACATTACCTAGCTGATTGAGCCAGAAGGTATTGAAGTGTGGATTACTCCAAAGTAAAGACAAGAAACAGGAAGGATTTGTGAACTAAAGAAAGTAGGCAGTATTGCTGTTGAACAAAGTGCTTCATTATTTATTTGCAGAACTTGACCATTGTGCAAACTCCATACGCCTAAGTATGTGAACACACTCCTTCCAAAATGGCTAAATAACCTTACATTCAACTACTTAAAAGTTTTAGTTGCTTGTGTTCAAACAAGTATTGTACTTTAGTGGTAGTTTGAGAAACTGTTTATTTAATGGAATATATCTTAATCTGCTTGTTTCTTTCTTCTTTCTCTCTTCCCTTATCACCCTGTGCTTCTCCACAGTTCACACTGGGTGAACGTCTACCTGAATGGATCTGGGCATGGTTTGCACAATACTTCTGCAGAATTATACGCAAGGAAGCTTTAACACACAAAGCAAAATAGGAATATCCAGATGTTCAGTATAAATGAGTACAGGAATCTGATCAGAGTGCTACAAAATGGTCAAGTGAATCCTGGATTTACTGCAATTTATCCATAACTTGCTTAATAGTGTAACTAGTGTTACTTGTAACAATAACCCAGACATTAGAAGTCTGGATCCTACATCACTGTGCTAAGTTGCTCCTCCTCTGCATTCCTCCAGGACAAAGAGTTGATCTTGCATAGGTTAATCTCAGTTCACTTTGTTTGTAAGGTAATAGGACAGGAGCAGATATAACTTTAATTCTGATAGTAAATGACTGCCTTTTGTGTAGTGGTATGTAATCTTGATTTGTAATGTCAGCATAATTTGTGAATTCTCCAGCTCTGGTGATAATGGGCCCAAAACAAATCATGTTGTTTTGAAAAGACAGTCCTAGTCAATCAATATGCAGTTTATGAGTCTTCTGGTCTTTTCATGGCAGGTACTTGTATGTTTTAAGTGCAAATATTGTTGTTTTCGAACAGGGTACTTACCATACATCTTAATTTTGATAAAGTCATACTAATTTGGGGGTCGTTTAAATGACAGAAAAGGCCTTACAGAACTGCAAAGGATTTCAAAGATAACGTGTTTTTTCTTTCTTATTCTAAGTGTGAATGCTCTTGACCACGCTTTAAATATTCCTTCAACAATCCGAAACGTGGCTGAAGAATTGAAACATTGTAAAAATACATTAGCTAGGGAAAAATAACAAAGAAGTAGTGTTCTAAGAACAAAGGTTAGTTTCATATGACAATTAAAAGTTACTGAAGTCATGATTCTGTATGGCTGTTTTTATTTATATAAAAATGTGTGTATATATATTTATTAGATGTCATCTAGTATCACACTATTTGTATTTCTTGTAGAGTCTAAATTTCACAGCTATCCTTTCTTTGAACATATTTGCTGCCTGGAACAAGATGTATCTTAAGATTCAGAACATTCGTTCTGTATTTAATATCATCATTAGTACTGCTTCTATAACGTTACACTGAAATATCAAAATGATGAAAATAACTGTGCAGTATTTTATACACAGCACTGTCTTTAGGATAGAGCTTAGAGGCTCCTGTCAGGCTGTTGCACCTTTAAACAGATTCATTTCCCCTTAAATTTTTCAGAAAACAGTTTTTGTCTACCTTCACAGCCCAGCTGTGAAGAAATGAAACATCTGGGCAAATTTCCCAACAGCTGGCTGGCATTGTCCCCACTGCAAAACTGAAGTCCCAAAATTGTAAAGTAATGCCTCTTAGCTTCCACTGAGAAATATACAACAGATAGCTACAAAGAACACAATAACTCTGTTTGACAGAAAATTCTCATCTATAAAACAAACAAAAAAAACTTTTTCCAACATAGGTGCTGTCATTAGCTCTGCATTTTTTTGGTCAATGAACAAGAGACTCCATGCTGCACTTTTAACAACTTGCTCTAGGGGTGGTGACCACTGATGAAATGTGCCACCCACCCCTCACTGTGCTACATCCACCCTGTGGTTGCCATAAACATTCAGCAAACATCAGTGAATGTTGGTGCCATTTTTTTTCACATGGAGGGATTCGGTTGCATCTCTATGCCTCATCTGCACTTCTATGTCAGGCACCATTCTGTCAGACTGCCCTTCTGCTGCCATCTGTCACATGGCAACAACATGTAATGGGATATTGGTGGGAAGATTTGACCTCTGCTGCCATACCATCAACATCTGCCTCTGATGTTATGGGACAATAACTTAAAGTAGATGGCATTACTTTTGCAGCAGCTCTGATTGTGCTCCAGGCAAATAGCGTGCAGCAGGTAGCACGTCTGCACCTGAACTCCAGCAGCACTGCCTGGGTGCTGGGCTCAGTGCACTGCAGGCGAACCTGCAAGCCAGCCTGGGAAGACAAATAAACTCTGCTCTATTGAGGCTCAGGTCTTCTGATCCTCGAGTGGGATGAACTCATTTCTGCTCATTTCTGTCTGTACAGCACTGCTGGGGGCACGCCTCAGTGCTGTGCTGAGCGCTGGGCCCCTCAGTGCAGGAAAGACATGGAGGTCCTGGAGTCTGTCCAGGAAAGGGAGCGGAGCTGCAAGGGGTCTGAGCGCAGCGCTGTGGGAATGGGGTGGGTCAGCGTGGAGAAGAGCAGCTGAGGGGAGAGAGAGCTCATGGCTCTGCAGCCCTGAGGGAGGCTGTGGGGAGCGGATGTCAGCCTCCCAGGTGACAGCGATAGGGTGGGAGGTGGTGGTGTCACTTGAGGGTCAGGTTGGGTATTGGGAACAATTCCTTCTCCAAAGGAGTGATGCAGTGGCACAGCTGCCCAGGGAGCGGGGAGTCGCCGTCTCTGGAGGTGTCCCAGAGCCGTGGGGATGTGGCACTGATGGACAGCTGGGGTTGGACCTGAGAGAGCTTTTCCAATTTAATGGTTCTGTGATTCTTTATCACTTGTTCGCACTGCATTCTTGCAGCCCAGCACTCCGCTTTTTGGGGGAAGGAGGGAGCGGGGCTGACGGGAAGTGGCTCGTGCTGTCGGCTCATGCTGTCCGCAGCTGACCACACTCTCAGCTGTTTGTTTCAACTTATGTTGTTAGCACGCAGTACATCTGCAATGACTTACTGTACTTGAAAATGTGACTTAAAGAAGGCCGGGTGAAAAATACATTTTTTTTAATCGAAGACTTAAATGCCGTTATGAAGCTATTGCTGTATTCCTAGTGGGGCTTGCTTTGTCACTCCCCCCTACCAACAGCATATCCTAACATTCCCTCACAGGCATTAAACCCTGTTCAGTCATGCCCTCAAACACGATAACAAAGAATTATTTGATTTTATATTTATTTTCAGTACGCAGAACACAACTTTCCGCTTTTCGGTAAGACACACCACCACTACGCTGCCCCACACTCAGCAGCGCACTGCGCATGCGCCCGCCCCTCACGCAGCGCCCGGACTCTCGCGAGAGCGCCGAGGTAAACATTGCACAAAATGGCGGCGGCGGGCCCGGGGGCGGCTCCGGCACGGTGAGCGCGGCGGGCGGGGGAGCGGGTGGGACGGCGGCCCTGGCGCTGCTTCGTGCCCGGTGAGGCGTTAACAGCCCCAGTGGCGGTAGGGACTTACGGTGTGGCCGCCCGTGCCGGGCACTGCGGCCCGCGGGAGTGCTGGGCAGTGCATCGGGCTGTGGGGCAGCCCGGGCAGAAAGGTTTCTCTTCCTTCATCTTCTCACGGCCTTTCCACTGCCTGTTGCTGGTTCAGCGTTAGGATGCGTCGCAGTGTGTCTTGAGTTCCACCTTGGAACAGGACAGGAAGAAGCTGCTTCTCCATGTGAAAAAACATTTTCCACGTTGTTCTTTAATTTCTTGCTGTTACATTTGCAAACCCTGCCCGTTTTCTCAGGTGCCCGTGTTGTGGTTGCCACGGTCCTGCTCATGAAAGCCTGAAAGCCTTCTTTCATAACAATAACTTCTTTCAAGCATAGGAACTAAAAATCTGCTTGCTGTGTTGGTATTTCTTGTCCTTGCCAGGTGCAGGAATAGAGGTTCAGGCTGCTTCTCTTTGTGTCAAATTACATACCAGAGCACTATCTCCATGGTTCATGTTCCTGAGTAGAGAGAAATGACCCACCACCACGCTTCCTGAAGCACCTATAGACAGTTTCTATCATGCTTCATTTTGCTTTTATTTTTTCCTTGCATGGGCCTTGCGTGTCACTTGTTTTTATTCTGCTTCCATGAAGCAGAGAGTTCAGGGCAGTAGAGTTCAGTTCCTGTTATCTGCTTTATTGCCAAGTTAATACCTGAGTATCTCAGAGGTGCCTGGTGTGAACTAGTAAGAGACTCAAGTGTTCTTGAAAAGTTATTAAATGAAACGTGAGCAACTTTTTCTTTATTATTTCTAATGCTAACTGCTGAAGGAATCTGCCTGTTGTGCTTTTTCAGGCTATACGTTTTACATAAACGTGGATCTAACTATTTGCTGTGTTGTCTTGCAGGTCAGTTTGTAAACCACTTAGCTAATTCTTCTAGGGAGTTAACTCTGCTCTCTGAAATGGAGTACAGGACTCAGCTACCATATCGTGAGTGACCGAATCATTTAATACAAAATGGAGAAGAAACGTAGAAAGAAATGAACCTGCTTATTAGGCTTTACCTCAAAAGACAATGAAATCTGTACTTGCTTCGGACACAGCTTTAAGAATATCCAGTTGAATGGCACAGTGAAATCAGCGTTTTCTGAAATAAAAATGAACTAGTTTATAAAGAAGAAGAGTGTGAATTGAATATATGGAATTCTTGGAATGAAACCATTTTCTTCTATGACCATGAAGTTTGCAAACATCTGGTTTGTTCTGGTTGTTATTTTACTCTGTGGCAAAAAACACTTCAGTACCAGACTAGGGAATTCCTCTCATGAGGCTCAAATATGTCCTGGATGTTCTCGCCTGACTTTGAAAGTGGAGTTCACTTCGACAGTCGTGGAGCATGGTAATAGAGTTGAGCAGTAAAAAATAAATAAATCCATGTGTTGTTCAAGTTAATGTTAATGAATCATGATGTTTGTGCAATGGTAATATTCAGAGGCGCAGGTGGAGCTTCTAAATTATCTGCATTCAGACTGAGAAAGAATTTTATGAAGGTTCACGGTTTAACTGGACACAGAATTTGAAGAACAAGAAAAGAAAGGGGGTAATAAGGAGTACGTTAAAAGTGAAAATAGAGTATGGAGGTTCAGGTGAGCCAGAATGGTTACTTAGGTGTGGTTTCGTAGCTTTTTGTTTTGACACTCTCAGTGGAGTGAGAAAGACAAGGGGAAGTATGTGTGGTTTTGTTTTTTTTCTGTGAAAAATGTTTGAAAGCGATAATACATTAGTGGAAAAGTAGCAAAGTAAGTGCAGAGGGAGCAAATGAAAGGCAAGCTAAAGCTGGTATCAATCCTGAGAGGGAAAAGGATAACTGTAGAGAGGAGCAAATAAAATGGGTGCTGAATTGAATGTGATCTGCAGTGCTGAACAGAGCTAGCCACCAAAGTGTCAAAGGAAAGACAAATACCAGTGTATGAAGTGCAGTCTGTATTGGTGTGGCAGCTGTGTATACATGTAGAACTGTGGGATAAATGTAATATAGGTGTGCTGTATGAATGGCTAAGTGTTGTGGAGGAACGATGAACAATCGACACTGAACATTTGTAGTTCTTACAGAATGCACAGATGCCATTTTTGACATCTCTGCTGTGTTTGAAACTGTAGTTTCATGTAACAAACAAACTAATTTGACTCTATCAGAAGTCAGTGTCTAAATTGTCTTCAGTTTGTCATGGTAATAGATAATAGATCTGATCCCATAATGGAGCTGTGTGTGCGCCCGAGCATTCACACGCAATGTCAGTAATGGCATGTTGTCCATTAGCTAGCAGAGGGCTTGTTAAGGTGATTGTGGCAGTGCATGATGGGTCTGTGTTCTACCCACAAGTTACTAATCCAGATCGAGGGCTGGACTCTTGGGACCAGCGTTGTTCTCTGTGCATGTCAGAGTTGGTGTCAGTAATTTTCCTAAAACTCAATACGTTGTTCCCTCTCCTGTGCTCACCCCTGTCATTTCACTTTCCCATGCTATCACAATTCTGCCTTCATTTTGAAGACCTTTATCATATTTTAAGCACTTCATCGTGCAAAAACTGTATGTAGTACAGAAATAAATTTTAGGCCTGTAAAGCAAAAAGCAAAAAAGTGCCTCAAATTGTGATTATTTATTTTGAATAAAAAGGAAGAAATATTCAGTAACTTGAGTGCGTGAGTAA